TGAGGTATTGGTACTACTTGTTAAGAAATCGGTTAATACTGTGTTATTTTTTTTTGTATTTTCGCTGGACTGATTATCATCATCATCTCCCTCTTTATTATCATCAGGTACTTTACCATTGCCACTTCCATTTTCTGTTTCAAATGACGCACTTGAGACAGTAGTACTTTCAAAGCTTCCAACTTTACTTATTGCCACAAAATCCTTTTCAATTTTCTTTGTTGTTTTAATTTTATCAAATGTTGAAACAAAATCAGTCAAAGGAGATAAAGTTGTAATTTTCTTTAATGTAGATGTTGTGGTGTTGATACTACTCGCCAAGAAATCGGTTGAAGCTAAGTTATTTCTTGTTGTATTTTCTATGGACTCATCATCATCATCATCATCATCTCCCTCTTCATTATCATCAGGTACTTTAACATCGCCGCTTCCACTTCCCGTTTCAAAAGTCGTACTTGAAACAGCAGTACTTGGAAAACTTCTAGCTGTACTTGTGAAAAAATCTTCATCCTCGTCTATTTCCTTTGTTGTTAGATTAATTCTGTTGAACGTTGAAACAGTATTAGTCAATGGAGATAATGTTTCTTCAATTTTCTTAAATGAAGTTGTAGTATGGGGACTACTTAACAAGAAACCGGTTGATGCTGTGTTATTGGTTTTTGTATTCTCCCTGGAGTCATCATCATCGTCATTAATTTCTTCATCATCATCTGGTACTTCAGTGTCTTCACTTCCACTTCCTGTTTCAAGAGTCGTATCCGAAACGGTGGTCCTTCGAAAGCTTCCAACTGTACTTGTCAAAACAATTTCATCCTCGTCTATTTTTGTTGTTGTTATATTAATTTTATTAAACGTTGAAACAGAATCGGTCAATGGAGATAATGTTGTTTCAGTTTGCTTAAATGCAGTTGTGGTGTTGGTACTCGTTAGTAAGAAATGGGTTGTCGTAGGGTTCTTTATTCTTGTGTTATCTCTGGACTCATCATTATCGTCATCACCTTCTTCATTATCATCAGGTACTTGACCATCTCCGCTTCCGCTTCCTGCTTCAAATGTTGTACTTGATACAGAAGAGTAAGTTGTGACTAGTGTGGAAGCATTTGTTTTTATATCTATGTGTTTAAAAGTTGTAGCTGTTACAGTAGATGAAGTACGACTGGACTGATTTTTTTCAATTGAAGTACTATCAAATGAAAAATCACTGTTGGTGGAAAACAAATGATCCCTTTTTGTAAATTTTTGATTCTCGTCATCGTTATCCTTGTCATTACCACCATCGTCATCATTGTCATTGTCGTCACCACTTCCACTCACTGCTTCATATGTTTCTGTAGTAGATACAGAATTTGTAGTAACACCATTTTTTGTTGTCCTTGTTTCAAATGTTTCACCAGTTACGTTTTCTCTATTTTTTTCATCAGTAATAGTAGTTTCCGCAGAAGTAGTATTAATAGTTTGTCTAATTATTGAGACGTGTTTGCAAACTTTATAAATGTTAAATTCTTCGTGGCTACACTCGTAACATAATGGACAGTCTGTGTTATTCTGACACCGATTGTCCCAAAGAATACACTTGTCACTACATTCATATAAACAATTTTCTTCGATTGCTGGTGTTGTAAGTTCAGTAGAGGTATCAGTTTTGGTACGTTGTTTTTGTGAAGTCGTTTCGGTACAATTTTCAAATTCTGTTGCGTGTTCTTGACATATTTCTCTTTTAACATTTACTTCAGTGGTTGTTTCTATTTCTAGATTTCCGTATTAGACAGATAATTACATAAGTAAAAAAGTACTAGTTACCTGGATCCTCCTCAAATACAAGATCAAAGTCTGCAGGAGGGTCTTGAACAACATATCGGACTTTCGTATTATACGGTACAGGAAGAATGTTTCCTTTGTAATAAATAACACGACTGTGGCTGCCAAAACACAGAATAGACACTATAAAAAAGGATTTTAACATTTTTTAAGAAATCACAGAGATGTAACTTCAACAAAAAAAACTTCGATTTTTCTGCAATGTTGAGTTTGAATGATTCACAAAATTACAAGTAATAAGGATAAGATAAGAAAGCGTCAAACTGTATTTACTCTTTTCATTAATCTTTTTTCGGGTTCTTGCAAGTTGAGATTAGATAAATAGGAAAAGTAAACCATTGTTTAGAAAAACGTTTTTATTTTGAATACCTTGACATATAAAATATATCAAAACACTGTTTGCACTGTTTATCTATTATTGGACAGCAAATAAATTTAAGCAATATTTTTCATTTTTTCATTCTTCATATATTTCATTTTTTCATTTCCTACCACTTCTTTTTTTGGACCTCCGAACGAATAATCATAACCATCAACAATGATGAAGTAATCATCGCTGATGCTAGTAAGATTCATACCTAAAACATCATTAGAAATGACCTCTAAATAGTCATCAAAATCTTTATCAGTCTCTTTGATTGTGGAATTTTCATTCAATTCTTCGTTTATTAAGACCGTATTATCTTTACTGCCTGACCCGTTATCATCTTGATCATCGTGAGCGACTCCGCTAGCGGAAGAATCATCATCAACATGAGTTTGCTTGACCTCTAAATAGTCATCAAAATCTTTATCAGTCTCTTTGATTGTAGAATTTTCATTCAATTCTTCATTTATTAAGACCATATTATCTTTACTGCCTGACCCGTTATCATCTTGATCATCGTGAGCGACTCCGCTAGCGGAAGAATCATCATCAACATGAGTTTGCTTGCCTCCATTGTCGGAAAAATGATCTTTATGATTGTAATGATCTTTAGCGTTTTCGCTACCAAAATAATTATGATCACCATAATTTTGTTTGTTTTCACTGTCGGAAAAATTATCATTATCAAAATAATGATCTTGAGCATTTCCGCTGCCCGAGTAATTATAAGTATCATCTTCATTGTCATCAAAGTAAAACTCCTTTTTTTCTTTTTTCTTTTCATTGTCATAGTTATTGTCTTGCAAAGAAACATGTTTGGTGCTGTATGAAGAAACTGCTGTGACATCCTCAATTTCTAGTATAGTATTAGTAATGGAAGATTCCGTTTTTTCTTTTGGTTCTAGCGTGCTTCTGACAAAAACAAAATCGCCAGACTCCACTTCTTTTTTGACAATTTTTTGATTTCTGTTTTCTTTTTGTATTGATATACCATCTCCACTTGCGCTACCACTTCCATTTTCGTCTTCGTCCACAAACGTTATGTTATCATCCTTAGTGACATTTGGTGATAAAGTAGTAGTATCCCCACTTCCTTCATTATCACTAGTGTCGTCAAACTGATTTGATGATTTAGTTTCAACTGTAGTACTAACGTCTTCATTTTGATCTTCTTTATTAGTTGTTTTTAAAGTACTAGTAACAAAATCAATAGTACTAGAAATAGAAGTATGATCAACCAAGTCGTCATCCGAGTCTGAAGTAACAGACTGATCAATTTCAGTAGAAGTAACCCTAGGTGTAACAGTTAAATTTTCAACTGTTGTTTCACTAATATAAGTTATAGAATTAGTGGTATTGTATGTAGAAATTTCTTGTAAAGTACTCGAATCATCACGTTCTGCTGTAGATGTCGGATGATTTGTCACACTAGATGAGATAATAGTTGATGTAGACGCAGGAGAAATTGTTGTTTTAGTAAGTTCAGTGGTACTTGGCGTATAAGCATCTTCTGCTTTATTGGAAGTGGAAATAATAGTAATAAGTGTAGTAATTGTTGTATCAGGTGTGTTACTAAGGGTAGAAAAGTCTTCTGGTTCAGTGGAGGTGGCAACAATAGTACTACTGGTTGTAATCGTTGTACTATCGGTATCATCTGTTGTAGGAAAGGTAGTTGCTTTTGTAACTGAAGATGTTTTTCTTGTTGATTCTGTCTCAATGTCCCGTGTTATATCATCACACATTTTCTTGCATATGTTATGGCCACACAAACTTTCGTAACAACATTTGTGATTGAAATAACACATATTATCACTGATACATTTCTTTCTATTACATTCTAAAATTTAAAAATATCACTACTTAAAAAATCTAGTTTTGTGAATTACCTGAAATAATCGGATTGAACTGTGATGGAGGTTTAGACTTTACAATGTATATTTTAGAATTCTCTTTTCCTCTGTAATGCAATCCTCCAGATATATAAATATTTCGAGTTTCATTTTCCATAATAATTAAAGATATAATTAACACAAATTTCAACATTTTGTGTGTTAACAAAAATGTTGTTATCAGGGTGGCAAAAAAAAATGTAACACTACAGTTTGCATATCAATATTTCTTAGATAAGATACTAAGAGGGACACTATTTACTTTATTTATTAACCCAAAATTGTGACTTTTTCTCAAGATTAGATAAATACTGTCTGGAAGGAAACGGATGTTTGAATAGGGGTCTATTAGTTTACTACTAATAAAAAAATGTCTTGAGATTTATATTTTAAAATAGAAAAAAAATTAAGACTACGTAATAATTTAAGTAATGATTTGGTTTCCTAATTATTAATTCTGCGTTTATTTCGAGACAAACATAAGGAAATTTATCATAGAAAAATTTCAGACTTCACAAAATTTTTTGAAAATTCAAATGTCTTAAAGATAGCTCCTTTTGTAAACATGCAATATTAATAGATAGCTCTGATGTTTTCTATCTTGGTAATTTTAAAATTATGATATCCACTATCTCCACTACAAAACTTCTACAAAATTAATTACCTTAATAGTATCATTAGTATCATACATAATCGTCATAATCTTCATTGTCAGTAAACGTTTCTTCATTTTTATAATGGCGTTTAACTTCACTTTCATTACCAACATCTTCTGCTGCTTTTTGCTTTGTGCCTTCGGTTGTTTCTTCATTTTCTGAGCTACTTCCACTACCACTAGCAGAAATGCTAACCCCAAAAAAGTATAAATCTTCATCGTCAATAAACGTTTCTTCATTTTTATCATCCTGGTCGTCTCCGCTTGCACTACTACCATCTACTGCTTCTTGCTTTGTRTCTTYGSWTGTTTCTTCATTTTCTGAGCTACTTCCACTACCACTACCAGAAATGCTAACCCCAAAAGAGTATAAACCTTCATCGTCAATAAACGTTTCTTCATTTTTATCATCCTGGTCGTCTCCGCTTGCACTACTATCATCTACTGCTTCTTGCTTTGTGTCTTCGGTTGTTTCTCCATTTTCTGAACTACTTCCACTACCACTAGTAGAAATGCTAACCCCAAAAGAGTATAAATTTCCATCGTCAATAAACGTTTCTTCATTTTTATAATCCTGGTCGTCTCCACTTGCACTACTACCATCTACTGCTTCTTGCTTTGTGTCTTTGGATGTTTCTTCATTTTCTGAGCTACTTCCACTACCACTACCAGAAATGTTAACCCCAAAAGAGTATAAATCTTCATCGTCAATAAACGTTACTCCATTTTTATCATGCTGGGCGACTTCTCGTGCAGTACCAACATCTGCTGTGTCGTGCTTTGTGTTTTTCATTGTTTCTTCATTTCCTAAGCCACTACCACTACCAAAATTACGTAACTTTTCAACGTCAAGAAACGTTTCTTCATCTCTCTCATTGTGGTTGATTTTACTTCCACTTCTGTTGTATTTTGCTACTTCTTGCTCTGTGTTTTTGGTTGTTTCTTCTCTATCACTATTAAAATTTACTGAAGAATTAAGTACTTTTTCTTGATTCCATTTATACTCATATTTACCTTCAAATAATTTTGCTATTTATTACAATCGCAACTTACCATCAATTGCATTACCTGCATATTTGTCAATACTAAGCAAGTAGTTATTAATTTTCAAAGTAGAAATTAATAAATGTAGAAATAAAGGATAAGTTTTCTTGGTACTGTCTCTGTATTTGTAACTCTCATTTGTGCTAACATTATCATCAGCACTAGTAGAAATGCCAACCGAAATAATTAAAAGCCAAAACAAGTACATCTTCACACCAACTGCAGTAAATAAGAACTTATTATTTATTAAAAATTTGCAAGTTTATTCGATAAGATTAGATTAAAAATACACATTCTAGGAACAAATGAAACATACCTATTAATATCATATTACAATTAACCCATAGTTCAACTAAGAAATTAATTTGTAATTAAAACACTAGTTTTAATAATGGTACACGAAGAAGTTTTTTTAATTATGTATTTTTCAAACACTACTATGGGTCTGTCAGATTTATATTTTCCTTGTATGACGTACTCTTAATGTGTGTGTTGACTCATGAATTCGTACGTATCCAGTATTTGAATTTATTTTAAATATTTATACAATATATTTGTTTATTTATGTTTGCTATAATCCCATAAACGAATAGTTTATCACCACTAATGAAAAAAAATCTGGTGTGAACATCACACGACTTTCCTTATCCTTATCCTTATTTGGAAAACATCCTAACGACAATAATTTAGTGTTGCAAATTCGAGTAACAAACCTAAGTTTGTTCGTTTCAGTGAGACAAATCAAATGCACTAAAAAAACTACTCGGTATATTCTTTTGAAAATTTGGATTACAACTAATAAAGAAATGCTCTACACGATGGTAATAATAAAAAAAAATACTCGTAGGGTTTTTCTTAGATTATTTCGATTTACTTCGAACTTCTTGGAACACTGTTCGAAGAAAAGTTTGCCAATATTCAATTTCAATTTTTATATCATTCTAAAGGGCAAGGCTATCCCTTTAGAATGGTCTTTATTTGAAGGAAATCGGCCTAATACCTAGTTATTGAGTAATGATTTTTTAAAGTTAAAGTATATTAAATTCATTTAAATTAGAAAAAAAAGTATTTAGTTCAAAGTGTGTGGATTTTAAAAAAAAATTTTTAGTGCATTTGATTTGTTTTACTGAGACGAACAAAATGATATAAAATTTGTTAAGTTGTCACGACATGACTTTTTTTTATCGCCCTGTGTTATTGTTTTATCACATTTTACTGTTTAATAAGGTATATTTCATAATTCTAAATAATTTGTATCCCCATGAATTTATTGTATCTTCAACCGTATAATTTTGCGATCACTTTACGGCCGACTTTTGGTCTTTGTGGCCGAACAGTGCGACCGATTTTTACCAATTGTTACGTGCTACGTTCCCTTGCTACAAGTAACTTACATACCAAATTTCAAGTTTCTAGCTCTTATCGTTTTCGAGATATGCTGTTTACAGACAGACACACACACGACCTCATGGCCCAAATCAACTTTTTTGGTGTCTTGAAGCTATAATTCGTCCAGAAATGTAAAAATATAAGTAGGTCAAATTTTAGCCGATTACAATACTTTCTTTATAGGATAAGGAATGTAAAAATACAATTAAAAAAATTTAAAACAACAAAGTTTTTTATTTCTGTCAAATATTTTATTATTTCGTAAGAAACTAGCTACTACATCGCTTAAAAAAGTTTAAATCGGAAAATATTTGGAGTGGTTGTATCAATTAGCTCAACTTCCGGATTAACATCGTCATCATCATCAGTTGCTGCAACATTACCGCTGCCTTCAGTACTATTTATTATTTCATCCGTTGTTGTGGCAGCTTTTCTAGTAGTACTTATAAGATGGATTTGTGTTGTTGTATCGGGGGTTGTAGTAGTCAAAACAGTCGTAGAAGGAATAGTAGAAGTACTGGTAGTTTCTTGCTCTGTTGTTGTTTCTTCAGTTGCAGTTGTTTCTTCAGTTGTAGTTGTTTCTTCAGTTGTAGTTGTTTCTTCAATTGTAGTTGTTTTTTCAGTTGTAGTTGTTTTTTCAGTTGTAGTTGTTTCTTCAGTTGTAGTTGTTTCTTCAGTTGTAGTTGTTTCTTCAGTTGTAGTTGATATAGTTGTAGTAGGTGTTGTTGTTTCTGTAATTGTAGTTGTGGTACTTTCTGTTGTTATTTCTTCTTTAGTTCGTTCAGCAGTACTGCTAGGTTCAATTTCTTTATCGCACGGACACTTTTTACAGACTTTATTAAATGGGTACGACTGATCACAAACACAGTTATAGGATGGAGGACAGTCAAAATCAAACCTGCAGTGTTGTTGTATCTCCAAATTTTCTAAAATACAAAAAAAAAATAGAAAAAAGTAATAAAATTTTTATTTACCTTTAAACTGAAAGTAGTATAAAAGAGGATTAAATTCCGGTGGTGGATTGTTGTAACGGTAGCGCGAAACACGATGATTATAATGTCTGAAAGAGTGTTTTCTTGCGTAAAGAATTTTATAACAATTAACAAAAGTAATCGTTAAAAATACGAAAAAAATAAAGCGAAACATGCTGGACTTAAATCTTTTGCAAACACTATAAATTTTCTAAAATCACAATGAGATAAGATGCTACACCCCACTTTTATGGTGAAATAACGGAATTTGGAATGTTTGCCCTTGGCACAAGATGTAAATCAATATAAGAATAAGATAAGAAAAAAATAGGTTCTATTTAGATTCAGGCAAAAGTCAATATTGAAAACCAAGATTTGTGTTTAAATTTTTATTACGACTTAATTATTATACAAATTCTCTGTTGGAAACTGAATACCAGTTTTCTTTAAATTGTCTTCAATCCAAATATCAGCGTCTTTCTTTAGCTCTCCTATGAAATAATTCCTCCAACCCCCACTTTTCCCCTTTCTCACAAAACCTTCTTCGTCACCTTTCAATATACCCAAATCTTTCAATAGTTCTGCGTTTACGGACTTGTTATTTTTAAAATTTTCAAATTTTAGATGCTCTTGCAATTTTTCATATTCTTGGTTTGAATATTTAACGCCGAGAAAAGTTGCTACCTTTCGTAAACAACATTGCAAATCCTTAAATATTTTAAGATTGTTTTTAATCTCTAGTCTAATAACACATAAATACGAACTTTTAACATATCTTCATAAAACATGAAAAGAAGATTTTCTTCATGTCGTGTCTCCCAGCCCTCCTCGATGTGTGCCCAATAAGGGGTCCAGGGTTCTATAAAATTGATAAAAAATAAGCAAAAAATATTGATATTAAAACACAACTTACGAAGTCCATTTTTAAAATAATACCAATATTTCGGAAAGTCATTGGTGTAACCTTGGGTCCGAAATAGACGATTCAAGTGGTAAAACGACACAGCGACATCTTTGGGATTTCGCGCAACGTAAATCACCTAATAATGCAAAGACAGTGTTTTATAGAATGCTATCAAAAAAGTTCACATACTTTGCATCCAATTTTTAACAAATTTGGTGGCAACAACTGAAATGGTAAGTGTGTCTTAATGAACCTTCTTTCCGTTGTTTCGGCCAATATTTTCCATGCCGGTGCTGTAACCTCGTTAATGAGAGCACATTTTTCATCAGAATGACGATTTTCGTTCAAAAATTCTTCCTTGACATCTGGGTGGACAAAAGAACTAAATCTACGATTTCAAAAATTGTGAGAAAGAAGTTAAAAATAAATAAAATATTACTCCAAGAAAGGAAATCTGGCATCGAGGGGAATTTGAGAGGCTTTTTCGTAATTCAAATCATTTGACAATAACCATAACAATTCTTGTGCCCATGTGGTACCTGTGCCATTGATTATAAGTAAAGAATAATAGTTGTTTATGTACTATAAAGGCTACCTACATATTGTTTTGCTTGTTCAAATTATTAAAATAATTTATTAAGTTATTTATTATTAATCAATAATGAACAAATGAAATAAGAAAGTAAACAAATGAGTTGGTAGAACTGTACCTGATCGCGGGAATGTCACAATCCAAACATCAGTAGGCCTTGGTTGAAAATTATAATAGATTTCAAGGGTTTTCTTAAAAGCGTTAGGAAAGAACCATTTTTTCGGTCCAACTTGTATGAATCCTGTCCTTTCGCCTTAAAAACTCAGCTAATTAGGCTATCAATTTTATTGCTGATGAGTATGTACAAAGAAATGCATTTTTGCATAATTTCAAGGTTTTAAATTTGAAGTAATGGAATGATAAAATTTTATTTATCACTGATATAAACACACAAAGTATAGAGCACCGTTTGAAATATAACTTGCAGCATTATTTATTAAATTTCTTTGAGAGGATTGCTTAATTTGACCCCAATTCCAAAATTGGTAAAAAATTAGCGATACTCACCTGTGAAATCTTTCAAAAGTTCCAAATTAATTTTTTCGTCAACGTCACTAATTTTGTAGGGAAATTGGAGCCACTCAACTTCGTTATTGTTGTGAAACGCATCTTTGACTAAATTTTTGCTGGTTTGTTTATCCATCATCACCAAAGCATGCAGAACTACTGAGTAATTCTACAAACTGTTCATTTCCTCCACTACCACGTGTGCTTTGTCTATTATTTACCCGCTTTATTTGCGTGTCGTTTGAACTCTACAGGTTTGTGAAAGTAATAGTCTCTAGTCTGTAGTTTTATACAGAATTTAATCAGGCTATGACTCTGACTATGTGGATGGAGTTAAGAAATAACATAATTCAGATTTTTTTTCAGTAGGTTTTTGATTCATAGGAAAATATTTTGGTCAAATAAAAAACAAGTTTGGAGACATTTATTTACTTTATTAATATGTAGTTAAAAGTACAAAACATCTTACTCTTAAAATAAAATGACAAATATTGCTTGAATGATTAACTATAACAATCCAACAGAAAAGGTGTCCATGTATTTGGTGTAAGTTGTAATGAATAAAACATTATTTGTCACTCCATAAAGTTCTCAATTAATTGTTAAGACGGTGAAAGTAACACAAACATTTTTAAAGAAACAAAAAAGAAAACCTTTTGTGTAAAATTTAGGACACTTTCTTTATACCTAGTGCCTGCTTTTAACAGGTCTGAACATTAAAAAAATTAAATAATACATACGTAACAAGATTTACAACTTTTATATTTTTAGTCATTCTTAAGAAGTAGTTGTGTTATTAAATCAAAACCAAAAGGGCTATACATTTAAATTTTTTTTGTGCGAAAACTTTTGATTTTGAAACATTACAATGTGTAAAAATTACTATTTGTTGCATCAGCAACAAATAAACGGTATGTTCTAGTGGCTATAGACCATCTACTTCTTAGAGGTTAAATGTAACCACGTTTGCTTTAATTTGTCAACATTTCCAACTTTGCCTGATTTATAAAGAAGAAGAAGAAGAAAAAGAGATTAAAGTGTTCTGGCTAAACACTTCCAGGGGGTTTCCAGGATGTTGGTGTTGGAACCCCAAAAACCTCCAAGAGGAATGAAAAATGGTAAAACAATGTGAATTTACCTCTGAAGATAACTGTACGCAAAAATAGGTAATTAAATAAAATAACTGCAGGAACATTCCAAAGTGCTCCTAACAACGTAGAATTCACACTAGGATATCAGTGGGGGCCAATATTGTCAACTAGAGCCAAGGTTAAGACTAAATAAGTAACCCAAGTTGTCTTAGACCTTCATTCAACCACGTCTGCCTTAATTTGTCAACATATTTAACTTTGCCTGATTTAACGAGAAGAAAATGCTCTGGCTTAATCAAAAACATTGTTAATCCACGTGAAGTACTTTTAGTACAAGATCATTTGACCTCTGAAGATCATTCACGAATAAACAGGTAACAACATTACTTTAAATTCGATTTGCCAAGTTGGCAAACTCTAACCTCAAACACAAATTGTAGGCAACGTGTTGCAGGAACATTTCGAAGTGTTCCCACCGACGTAGAATTCATACTGGGGCTCCAAAGGGGCCCAATATTTTCAACATCGTTGTGAGGAAATGGGTAAAACTTGGAGTTATCTTGAATCTGTCGCACCTTCATTCAATCCTTATTACCTGCGAAGGTAAGAATTTATTTAATCATTTTACCCTACAATTAGATGAAGTAATTATATATCTTCTACATGGAAATTTGATCCTACTTACATATTTTTTTTTGCTGATCATTGTCGAAAAAACTGTATAATAATTTTATCGATTGTTATGACGGTTGTGACAGCTGTGCTGCCAACCTAAAAAAAGACAGTGGCGTTACATTCTATTGAAATATTGTGTTTTTGAAGTTGGTGTAACCAGTAAGTAATTATTTATCTAAACAATCTTTTCTAGCAATAATTATATTTAAATAATATTTTTATTGGAGTATTTATTTATTTGTTATAATGCAATATGTAAACAGTGACGGAACATCCTAGGGGAAAGTGGGTCAAGTCAGACTCCAATTTAAAAAACCTTTTATTATAAAATAATAATTTAATACACTTATACAAAAATAATCATGTCTCAAAACGTCTATTATTCGTCCGTCCTTGTTTTGTCATCTTTTTCTTAAATATCACAAATCCTATAATTGCAGCGACACCTGCTAAAAGTCCTACTCCTATAAAAACTGTTACTTTCTCCATAACATGATTGGGGGTTTCTTCACGATCTTCAAGAATATGTCTTGGAACTTCAGGTTCATCATTTTGTTCATCTTCAACTGATTCTGTTATGTTTGTCTTTTTTTCAGTGAAATTTAGTTTTTTTCTAGCTTCGGTTTTTGTGAGTTTTGAAGCCGGTTTTGGTGTAGTTGTAGGTACAACTTGTTTTAAATTCAGTGTCAAGTCCAAATAGTCATTTAGTGGAGCGAAATAATCCAAAAGTGGCGTTGCGGACAATTCGTATATCCCAAAATTGTTGGCCAGTGTTGGCCAATCAGTGGATGATCTCTCGCGCAACATTGTTCTAAAATAATAATTATTAGAATCAGAATTGTGTTCTTTCAGTTTTTCTTACAAGAAATTATCATCGTTTCCGAAGTTCGTCGCAAAACTCTCGTTCGCAAATTGCCATTGATTTCTGTAATGTTCCAATAATTGAAACTGCAAGATTGTCCCCAGAAATTTACTCAAATAAGGCCTATTCGAAGCAATAAAAGGATCTCCAAGAAAATCAGTTTCGTTATTGAAAACGCCCTCAATTCCTTGCATTTCCTTCCTCAAATTCCACCAAGAGGCCGATATGTCGCTTCCACCATTTTGTAATACGTCCAGTCGCCATTTATCCGCAGCCAAGTAATATGGAAGTTTCGGCAAAACTCTCAAAGCAATTAATAAAAGTTCGGTCATTTTATTATCATTATTTTTAAATATCTCGTAGTTCCAAACATCTTGAACTCGCAGATTTTTGATAGCAAAAATCGATCCTAGGCCTACAATGGCGTCATCAATGGCCGAATATCGCAGTTTGAGTCTTGCCAAATCAACGTAATTGACGTTCCGTAACGCTAGTTCAATTGCAGTCTCAAATGCGTTCAAATATTGCACCCATGACGTTTTATCACAAGTGAACAACCTGTACAAGAATTGTTAATAAATAAAAATCGGAAAAACGGCGTTGGTATAGGTACTTACTCGGAATGTTCTTGAGAACAAAACGTGATCACGTGGTTTTCACAGAAGGGGATATTGAAGCGGCTATTGGTCCAAAATTTGGGACTGAAAGGCCCCAAAGATAGGTCTTTAGTGACTTGTTCGGCCATTTTGTAAATTTGCTTGATTGACTGAAACAGATGTTTTATTTCTTGAGTCAAGTAATAATGGATTTTAATACAGTTCGGTTCAGATACGACTTAGCTGAGTAGTAAATTTGAGGATGGGGTAGAATTATGTTGGCTATACTGCTCCAGTCGTTTCCAAAATTTGACCCTGTGAGATATACAGGGATGTCGTTACTAGTTGTTTTGTAAAAACGCAAAAGCCGGATTTTGACGTAATTTTGTAATTTTAAGTAAAGTGGTTTAATTTGATCCCAGAAACCATCAGCTAAGTTATAGGCACTTTCTAGATCTTGTAATTTTTCCCAATATAATCTAGAGTCGTCATATTCTACAAGACAAAATTGAGATTATTGTCTTTTTAAAAAAAATAAATAAACCGTTTAGTTGTGCTGCTTTGTTAATGAGATTCAGAACAGAATGAAATTTATCAAATTTGGTCGAAAGTAGAGTTTGCCAAGCATACCAAGTTTTTTTCCGTAAAGTAGCATTTCTGGACGTTTCAATTAAGTCATCATAGCCTGTAATCAGATTACAATGGTTTCACACAATTCGTAAAAACTTACCTCTTTTGACTTGAACACAATTCTTCGTATTATTTTTACAATGAACTTTAAATGTGTGAATCAGTTCATCGATGCTAATCTCATACGACACTAACTAAAAACCCTAGACTGTAATTTAGTGCCTATTTTGTGTTTTTCACCTACAGTATTCCAGTCTGGCTCTTCCAAAATGGCATCTCCAGGTTTGATAATCAGTTCCCAGTTTCTTTGAAGATCGAAGGGGATTTCAACAAAGTGGCGTAATGTTTCAGACTGAGTTCTTAACAATTCGTTGTGGATTTTTTGTGCTGTAATCTGTAATTTTTCAATAAAATATGAAAAATTAATTGATTGTTTATATTTAGGTACCTTATCTCTAAAAGTGTTGCCTACTATAGACGATTTATATTTATTTGCTATATTTTCACAATCGTCTTGCAATTCTAAATTTGAGAGTTGTATTTCGGCTAGTAGTTCTTCGTTTTCTTCTTGTCCCCGAATTGCGGATAGGATGATCAAAATAAATAAAAATTTTAATTGTGTTGGAAAAATGTCCATTTTGGGCTGAAAGTGTTTGTCTTGCTTAGCATCCATGATCCAACATTTTGTTGTTTACATAATACACACAATACAAGGTATTTCAAAACAGGTTCAAGGCTACTCACATTTCTGTAAAACAAACGGTAATAAAAATAACTTACCAATAATCACAACAATAAAAACTAAAAGTTTTATATTAAAACAATTTGCAAATAGACTAAATAGTTGCAGACTAAACCCTCGTGGAATTGGAACTACTCACAAATCTCATGAATCATTGAAACAAACCTGGTGCAACGGTCAAAAATATTGTCATCGCTTTGATAAGATTTCTACTGATGGTTACAAAATAAATGTGTTAGACTTTCGTATCCTAGAGAACAATTACCTTGTTATCTCTTCATATTTGCAGTTTTTGTGCACTCAAAATTAACATGTTTATATTTATTTCAGTAAATAATCGATCTGACATTGTCACGCTTTTAGAGAAACTGAAGAGACGAGTGAAAGTTGGAAGAAAAGTTGGGGCATTGTGACCTTAGTTATTACAGTGGCAAAATTTTTATTATAAATATGTGTCTTTTGTTTGGTCTTCTTTTTAATAATTGCACTTTTAATTTATTTGTAATTTGATTTACAAGAGGAATTTTATTTTGGTCAATGGTCGTCCTTGCAGTATTTGTTTTTTGGTATATTCTTTATCAGTGAAAAAATTCGTATCAATCAAATGAACTTTATTTCTTGAATTTTAATTTCATGAATACTGCTAGATACCTAAATGAATGTTATGGGTTTATGTTTTCGAGAATACCAACGAGTTAATAAGAAATTGAAGAAACTAGGTACTAGGAAAAATATAAATGCTTTACATACCTTGCATTTAATTTTATCATTAAATAAGTATAAGGCAATTGACTTTATTTTTTAATTAAATATTAAACCACGATTCATAAATAAAATTGATGGAAAATTGTCAAATTGAAACTATGTCACAGGTACCGCAAATCAGAGAGATAAGGATGTTATCGTAAATTCTATCATTAGGTACAATTGTTGTAAACACTTAACATTACGAGTATATTATAGGTTTTATTGGTTGCTACGGTAACATTATTCTAAAACAGTCTTTATTTAGCTTTCCGTTTTCGAGACTGAACCGTGTTCCGCTTTTCTAAAAAGAAAAACGTGTGTATGAAATATACAAGGCGATTCACGAGGAATAATGAGCCTGACCAAATTCTTGATGCAACCACCATTACTTTTCGCAAGTTATTTTGCGATAACTGTAATGTTGGTTGCATCGAGAATTTGGTCAAGCTTATTATTCCTCGTGAATCACCCTGTACAAATATTGTATATAATTTAAATAAATTTTTTTTTCGTTAAAAGTCTTTAAAGTAATAAAATAATAACAGAATTTTGCTAGTAGTAATTTCATTTGTATATTTAAGCAAATCAATTATTTTCTGAAATTGTCACTAAAGTTACATAAAATCGTCAGTAAATAGTCTAAAATGCTAAAATCGCCGCTAAATTTAGTGTATTGTTGGTTGCAAACATTAATAACACAATAACAGTGTTGTCAAATTATAAATAATAGGTATGTCTTAATGTAAACATGAGATAAAGACAATCCTATTGCTAACATGTATCTGTTTATACCGAGTGTCCGGTCTCAAACTCAAACATTAGGAAAAATGTCAAATGGGTATTGGCCAATTTCTTTAATTATTAAAACAAACAGGTATCTAAGTAATCAAGAAATTAATTGGTTTTTATTAAAAACAACAAAAATATCGTGTATGTAATAAATTAGAGTAGGCGACGACGATTGATATTCTACAGTTGGCAACACGTTGACTGAGAATCTGGACTTGAAATTTTCCACACAAACTGAAAGTGAAAATGACCATTCACCGTTTTCGTCTTGTACAGCATTTTTGTAATAACTTGCAACAATAAGAATCTTCTGCTCTAAAGTGAACATTAATTGACTCAAAATGAATAAAATGCATACTTGATAGAAACGACTTTTTGATCGCACTGTATACTGGTGCAAAGGTAGGTACCTAATAATAATATAAATATTGGTCCCAGATGTTGAGACAATAGAAAAAGATAAGAAACAATAAAATACTTTGCATTACAAAGCAAGAAAATAAAGCAATTTTAATTGATACTTATCAAAAAATGTTTTCTCTGTCACCTTTTGTTACAGTTAAAAACCTCTTTAAATTAATTAATCAATTAGTAAATAATTGTACATAATTTCAATGTTTGTATTTTTAAGTTTTGACATGCTAAAAAATACAAATAATTAACTACTTTTGTTCTTAAATATTACTTAGAACCGAAAGGATAACGAAGTAGCCAATTATATTTAAATTCCGCGACAAATTTATCTTTAATCTGTAATTTCAATCTTAAGAATTTACGCTTGAAGATAATTTGACAATAAAAGAGACTTCTGAATTTAAAACAGTCAGTATGAAAATGTCCATTATTTGAAAAACTTAAAACTGAAACTATGTCACATGAAGAAAAATATAAAAGTAAAGAAACCAAAAATGAAACGGTGTGTGAAATTAAAGACGAAAAACTGGAACTTGAGTCTCCACCAGATCGGTTCCATCTAACTTACATTTTATTTTTCTTCCTGGGACTTGTTCATTTCCTCCCTTGGAGCTTTTTTACCACTGCAACTGAAGTAAGTGAAAAGCTATCCACGCTTCGCATAATCTAAATTTTTAGTTCTGGATGTACAAATTCCGAAACATTTCAATTAATGAAACCAATTCGGAACATCGTACATACCTTCAAGCAGAATTTAATGCTTCAATAAACATAACTTTGCAAATAACAGAAGTCGCTTTCTTGATCTTGGGAGTTTTGTTCGGCCATCTTATCAGAGTTAGAGTGCGGTTGATTGGAATTTTTTCAATAATATTTGCACTTTTTGTGATTTTGTGTGTTTTTGTTGAAATCGACACAGATTCCTGTAAGTATTGGCGGATTTTTTTTGGTTTTTCTAACAGTCGGTTTAGGGCAAGAAGAGTTTTTCGGGCTGGTGATGGTGATTACAGCTGGAATTAACTGTGGGTAATCTCAATCAATAAACAAATCTTTTAATTTCATTTTTAGCAATGAATGCCGTTTTTACAATCACTATATACACGGTTTTGGCCAACTTCCCTCAAACCTATTTAGCTCCTTACTTGACAGGTGGTGCTATATCCGGCATAACCACTTCAAGTCTGCAAATTCTCACTTTGGCATCTGGTTTGTCAGTACTAGACAGTGCCTTATTGTATTTTTCATTGGGTGTTGGAGTGATTGGGTTCACATTAATTTTTATAATTTTCACGACTAGTCAAAGTAAATTTTATTTATATCACATGAGAAACTATGTCGATGGTTCAAAAGAAAAACGAGTCACTTTTAAAGAAGGCTTTCGATTGTTAAAAATTATTTGGTCACCGATTGCTGCTATGGGATTTCTTTTCGTGTCATTGGACGCTTCTCCAACGGCTTTGGTCGTGTCAGAGGGAGAAGGACAAGGGCCTTGGTACGACACTTACTTTATTCCGGTTATAACCTACTGGTTAGCAGGAGTTTGCAATTTGATTGGACGAAATATAGCATTTACATTTGATCTTGTAAGTAAACTGTTAAAATCCATTGTAGTTATAATAATTGTTTTAAAAATTGTAGAACCTTAACAATGTCGGTTGGGTGGTTCTAGCTGCAGTAAGAATGGTTATTTTTGTACCATTGTTCATATTTTCTAACGCCCAACCACGTCACCATTTACCAGTGTTACTACCTCATGATTACCAATATATTATTTTTGTGATATTTTCGAATATTTCTGGGTCCTATATAATGGGCCGAACTTATTTCACTATCAAAAAGTATGTCTCAAGATATTATTGTTGACTTTTTAAACAAGAATTGATTTTTTAGATTGGTTACTCAGGATGAACTTAAAGATGCGTATCACGTCAATATGGTTATGATAGGACTACAGATGGGCGTGTTTTCTTGTATCAGTATGATTACTGTGAACCTTTTGTAATTGAGCTGTTTTAAGCTTGTATTAGATCTTAACTTATGCACTATAGTTTAATATTATTTTAAGATACATTTTTGATTATTAAACACCATCCAAGTTTTTTTCCAAATTCATGATATTCTAATATTTTTTTAATTACTTGTTTGGTACACATGTATTAAAATAAAAATATATTGGGACTATGCATTTAATATAGTGTTCAGCTTGTTATTTTGTACTTTGGGATTACAACAATTAAAATATGGTCAAGTCGGGTATTGAGAAGTTGGAAAACGCACAATTTTCTTGTTAAGTAATTGAATAATAATAAAAAATTTCAATGAAACATTTTTTTTCTAAAGATGTGTTTTCCACGGGCGTAGACTACATGTGTGCTTCGGGGCAGATGCACCTGTTGAAATTCTTTAATGGGTGTGGGCATCCACTGAAAATAATGTACTCTTGCTTATGGTAAAAAATTATAATATAATAATCTTTTTTTAGTAACGTTGCATTTTTTAAAATCACTTTTAATGTCAAAGATGTTTTAATTTTTCTATTATTCTTTCCTCTTCAAGAAAATGGATCAAATTCATCGCTTACATTGTTCTATTTTGTTTTTCCAGTTTTCAAAGTTTTGCGGTAAAAAACTCCTTGAAAAAGGATTTGTTATTATCTCAAATACTGTTGTTTGATTTCGTCGAAGATGGTATACAGGACAGAGGATGAATAAAACCATTAAATACATCGCGATGTTTCGATACCTTTATTGTATCTTCCTCAGGCGAAGAATTTTCGTTTTCAAGGAAGAACTGATTGCCATCCTCTGTCCTGTATACCATCTTCGACGAAATCAAGAAACAATATTTCAAGGACAAGAAACACAAAATGGAGTATCCCAAATACTTCAAAACGACAAAATATTCTACAAAAACTTTTTACCTATATTTACTGTTTCAAAGAATTAGGGGAACAAAAAATTCCTTAAATTTTTTGGTGATTTTTGTTTTCTCGGAGCGAGGGATCCAAATTTTACAAAAGAATTAAAGGAATTAATGGTTTCTGAACATTGTGTAATCTTCATCAAAAGGAAAAAAGAATTTTTTTTAACTTTTTTACAATTTTGCATGTTAAATTTGAATAAAAACGTGAACTTGAAGCATTTTGCAACTTTGAAACATGTACTATTTTCTTTATACTTTTTATTGTATACATACATTAACCACTATTGTATTTTTTTAATGTTACTTATTGATTTCGTCTTTTGTGCTATGTGAAAAATTATATATTTTTTAAATTATTTAAATATGTAATACATTAAATTCAGCAAAATTGGAGAAGAAGAAATCGTTTTTTCGCATAATTCTCAAGTTCTCATCAAGTTTTTTGTTTATGTACCCATTGAAAATATGAAAATTCAGTGCCCATGTGTCTTTCAATAAGAAAAGGCTTTGAGCCTTGATAATGTTCAAAATTTTTTTTATGAGATATCGGATATTGTAATTATTGTAGGTACTCTTGATAAATTAAGTTATAATAATATTATAAAGCCATGGTGGTTATGGTTATTATTCGAACACTATCAAAGAAACTTAGAAAGCTTAACAATTTTAATAATTATTATTTATGGAAGTTATTCACAATATATCACACATATACTTATATACAATCACTTACATCAAATACAGCTTAAAAAAATCTATCAATTAAATTTCTTTAAAACTTAAGAAGGAGTATTTGCGTTTAAGTAAATGTCAATTATTTGAACGATATCAGTTTTTATGTTTTATTACTGTTAACTAAATATTCCCTTGAGGCGCCATCGCTGTTACTACACCCATTACAACTCCTTTGACAACTGCTTGTGCAACTCTCGTCGCTGCACAAGCTGACATTTCTCGAGTCGCAAATGTCAATGAATTCCTCAGCTATTGCCTTGTCAAGACCTGTATAGGTCCTCACGACATCTTCTTCAGTCACTGTTTTCTCCTTCGACTTTAACTTGGTTCTCGATCGGTCATGTGGGGGACATCTCGAATAAATATGCTTCTTTTTTCTGCGCGACTGTAATAAATATTTTGATTGCAAAAATTTGTAAAATCGCCAAAACTTACTAAATCTTTTTCCGGTGGAATGATCGGTGATGGGATGGTACCCAGCGGTGCGGGAATCAGAGGATAAGGAACCACCCGAGGCGGCACCATCTGATGATGCGGTAACGCGAAAACTGGTACCGGTAAACCACCGGATGCCTGTAATTAATACTTTCAGCACTTTCATCGTGTATGGACGCTTATTAGATATTAGTAAAGTTCAATGGTCGGGACTTTCACCTTTCGGTTAAAATTATTGAATGTCACCGAGATTTTTTCAAGTGTGAAACGAGCTCCAGTTTGGTAAAATTCAACAGTTAGGTGGTTAGTTTTTTAGTTGGAATGGTCTAGATGTTGGTTAACCTGAGGCTAACTTTTTCCCGACCGCACCTAAAAGACTAGAATTCGATAAATCAACCGGTCTAGAATCTTCCATCACTTTCAATTTGACACGAATTTAGTAACATGGGCTTGAAATTACCTTGCTGCCTTTCCCGAGAGTTGACGCTGGCGCCGCCACTACATATAGTGGTGGCGGGCTGTGCTTCCCCAACCAGGAACTGACCAAAGCATTTCTTTGCGCATTGAAATCTTCAACAAACTCTCCTTTTTTCCTGAAACAGGGGCACAGAATCCGCGAGCTTCTATACGACGCTATTGCTGCCACTACAAACTCAGCCACGGAGACAGACAAAAGCCCCAAATTTGATAAAATACTCATATAATTCACCGGGAGGATAATTGAGATTTTTCCTGGTGGTAGTGTGGTCGTGGGCACCTGGGGAACAAATAACCTTGTTAGGTGATAGTACTATCTGAGGTGCTGCATAAAAAATTATCATGACTCGCGGGCCTCGTTGAAAACGAGAGTATATCTAGGTTGCACATTCCGAAGAAATCTCTTAAAGGAGTGCTCGAAGGCCATCCTTACCTCCACTTCTTCGTCGAATTCGGAATTGTTGATGTCTCTGGCACTGCCAGTGGCCGCGAGAGCCACAACAAGCTGGGAAATGGCCAAACTGACCAAACTCAAGGCGAGGAAAATCGTGTGGGTAATTTTCTGCGGAGTAGATTTGAGGGGGCACCAGTCACGGGCTGAGGCGAGGATACCAACGATTCCAGTGGCCATGGCGAGACAACCGGCCCATATTCCGCCTCCCAGCTGATAACAGGAAAATTGTTAAAAATGTGATCGGTGAAGCTGACCTATCACGATGTGGATTTATCGTGAGAATTAATAAGAAAATTGCAGTGAAGGAAAGGCCTTGGATTACTCATCTTTGAGAAAACTTGAAATACAAGACGTCTAATAATAGACGAAAACTTGGTGTTTATTCGTTAGTCAACAGCAACTAATAATTTTTGGATAATTGCCGTAATTAAAGTTACGATAATTACAGATAAATTATTAATATAATTACTTCTGGGTGTCGACCTGTTTTGTTCCTTATTTTATTTTTCGAATGTTAATTAAAATACTTTCGGTGAACGTGAGGAAACGTGGCCTATTGTTGATGTCAAAATTGTTAATTCAGATTTTTCCAATTCGGTGAATGACTGAAAAATTTGCCAAGAAGGTCAGATTAGAAAATACTGAGTTTTATTTTTTTAAGTAGCACATGTTTTATGTTTATATTTGCAAGCGAAAAGCAGTGAAATTGACTGCAAAATGAACATTTTTGGTATGCGTTTTTCTAATTTATCTGAACTGCTTAATTTTTCTCACTCAATTAATTGTAAATATGTTTGAAATGAAGCTCTTTTTGCAATTTTTTGAATTAAAACAGGAAAGATAATGTGTATAAAACTACCTCTTAAAGATAAACCTACAATGCGAAGCTTGTTTTAATTCGCCGTCAATAAACTTTGGAAAACAGGCATATTGAAAAGTTTATAATTATTATTAAGTGAACGAACGTTAACCTCTGCTATAAAACCATCATAAAACAAGAGAAATTTTCTAAAAATAAAACACCTGCTACGAGTATTTGACGTTTTATGCTTATTTGATACAGAATTATAGAGAACCTTTTACATAAGAAAATGAGGAAACACCATAAATGTTATTTAAGAATTTTTTTTTACGTTTATGAGCTTTTTGTTATACAGGGTGTTTAAAAATGCCACAATAAAACTATGGTACGCTGTCTAGAAGCATTTGGTGAGTGAGGGAAAAATATTTAAAAAATTCTTGATGTTAAATTTGCACCTGGATGAAGGTTTCTTTTTTATGGTAAATCTGGCAACTGCGGGTACCTACCTTGAGAAAATCAAGAGACTTGCCATGGAATAATTCAATTTTTGAATTCATTGTTACCTTTAAACGTTCCCGCATCGATTTTTGCATAATTATCGAAAATTTAAAAGAGGTAAATCGCATTGAATGTTAAACACCACAGACATTGCGTTAAAGATTGTTAATCTACCTTCCATTCTGCATATTTTAATTGCATTTTGAGTGTTATTTAGTAATAATAAGTACAACTAACAACGTTTGAAGATTCTTACACAAAACCTCTACTGTGCAGAAAAATAAAAACCAGGAATTTTTAAAATATATTTTTCCCTCACTCACCAAATGTTTCCAGACACCGTACCATAATTTTAGTGCGGCATTTTTTAAACACTCTGTATGTTCTCTCGATTCCGAATGACTTTTAAATTTAAGGTTTGTATACTAAAGAAAAAAATAAAAAAATATCAAATTTTGAATAGCATGACAGGTTGGGAAGTGGTCACTTTCTTATCAGTTTTCTAGTTGGTAAGTGGCCATTTTCCAACCTGAACTGTCATATTACTGTAAGAACGTTTTGCTTGAACTCCATAAAATTTTATTACGATTATTATTCCAAATCTAGAACCCTTCAAGCCGACCACTTTGGCACGCTTGTTGTGTGATTTTTTGCAGACAGGACCGGAGTTGCTGCAATTGGTTTACCAAACAATTGATCAGAATTTTGGAAACAGGTTAATTTTAAAGCTATTGGCAAATTGTAATATTGTAAATATTTATTGTAAACATATTAAATGACACTTAGTTTTTAAATATAAATGTTTTCTTCTTTTAAGTGTTGTTTTTTTTTTTAGTTGGGATAAACCGGCTCTGGTATTTCTTACGCACAGAGGGATGTAAATATATTACCGAACTACCTGTGTCAAGACATTATTGTGAACAACACCATTACTACCGTAAAATTTTATGATGTACATACAAACAAAATGTTTTTACAATACATATCAACTGATAAGGAAGTGAGCACTTCTCAACCTGAACTCTGTATATATTTTACATCATTTGTTAAATGAAGCTGAAATGTCATACTTTCCAGCTTTTCACCTGCAAGGTAATTTGATTATTACTTTATGATTGTTAATAAAAGTAGTTAATTAAATAGATAAAAACTACCAAAAAATACTATATTTTTTCTACATTCTAAAATGTTTTAATTATATTTTTGTTTTTATGTTTCAAAAACATAATATATTCTCGAAAATTACGCTTTACAATTGCTTTTATTTATTATTAATTTAATAGCCAAACAATCAAAACGTTTAATATAAATATTTTATTGGTGCGTTATATATACATTTTATCTGCAACTTTTCGGATTTCAAAATTTAGCATTTAGGAACGGATGAGATGTCATTCATTGTTTACTTTTTATTACCTATTTGTGCATTTGTTGTTTTTAATTTAATTTTAATTTAATTGTATACGTGATATCATGCTCAAGTGACATTAGGCGATACAATTATTTTATTACTGTGTAATTCAGGCCATGGGTCATAGAGCCTCCCGTTTTATGCACCTGCAATTGTTCTTCAAGCTCCTTAATCCTCTCTGTACCTAATCGCACATAAAACGGATACAGGCCGAGTTTGCTCATTTTGTCTCAAAAAAACACGTAATAACAGTAATAGCAGAAGCAAAAAATTTAAATGCACCTGTGAAAGTACATACGTATCAGTGCAAATAACCACGAGTTAATAGTTATTTACATTCGTGTGCGGTAACTTACATTTTACAGTGCGAAATGAATTTGAAGCACGACGCGCAGCGGAGTGCTTTAATAATTGAGCACTGTAAAATGGTTAACGCACAAGATTTGTATTAAGCTTTTTGGCCGACGTTTAAACAAAAATCTACAAAATTCAGAATTAATACAAGTAAATACGTTTGACATTAAATATCACGGTGGCTATGCACTCTAATGTCAAACAATTAAAAAAGACGCAAAAACGTCTC